AGAGAGAGAGAGAGGATGGTAAGAAGTACCTTAGCAGACTTGGGGAGATTGGGGAGAGGGTAAGTGCCTTCAAGCCTGAACTCATGCATCACCCAATTAGTCTTTTCTCCTCTGGGAGCTCTTCCTTTGTAGAAGACAAGAGTCTTCTTCATGCCAACGAGGACTCCTTTTCCCCAGTAGATCTCCTTATCTTTCCCTGTGGCTTTCCAGTATCCAGCTTCGGTGGCCCTGTTGGTCCTCAAACCGGTTGGGTACTTCCTGTCCCTCTGGCAGAAGAAGTACAGCTCCTTCCCTCCCATCTTTGCCTTGCCTAACACAGCATCAACACGACCATGGATCTCAGAATTCACACATCAAAGATCAAAGCTGGGGAACAGAAGCTTACTTGGAAGATCCCATGGCTCGCACTTGTTCAAGTCGACCTCCCCCATAGCTCTTGCAGCGAAGCTATGGTTGATGATCTTCGGTGTGACGTAATGAGTAATGATCTCCTCATCTGTGGGGTGGAACCTGAAGCCCGGGGGCAACTCCATGCAGACCTCTCCATTGTTGAGCACCGAAACATCACCCATGATTGCACCTCCAAAGACGAGGGCTCGCAGATCCCAAGAACAAACAAAAGGGCAGGAAGGACTGGAAGGTGGAAGAGCGAGGCTGCTGTGATTTCGAGGTGGATCTAAGAAAGAAGGGAGTAGAGGTGAGAGGAGGACTTAAATAGAAGGATTCCCCAAGCCCTAAGATCCGTAATGTTGAAGGCGCTTCCAAGAGAAGCCTCAGGAGAGGGGGTCCATCCATGTCCTCAATGATGCTGTGATTGGTTTCATTGCCCACAATATTCTTCTCCACAAAATAAACAATACAGTGAGTTTGTCCTTCTCTTCCTCGCTCCCATACCAACAATCTTTTCATCGCCTTTATCTTCCCGTGTAGTTTCTAGGAATCTGGCACTAGTTGACAAGGCTGCTTCTGGGAAGATTGTTCCTACGCTGTGTCGAGTCAACAACTGATTCAGAATTACTCCCAGTTAAAAGAGGGAGAAGATAAGGTGGAAAGATTCATGGCCACATGCGGTTGAATGGATCCAGCAACATTTCTTTCCTTCTTCGGTGAAGATAAAAGCAAAGATTACCGAGGCCTTCTTCATCTTTGGTAGTACAACTTTTTGGTGTCTCCAATCTAATGTTCAGATATCAATAAAAACTACACAGATTAATGCTGCTCTTTTCCACAACTGCATCTGTTTGACTTGACGAACTCAATTCAGGCTTCAAAGTAAAAAAAGTCCAACCATGATGAGTGGTAAAACATCTCATCAAGCGGTTCATGTCATCTACAGCAACCGGAGGCATCACCGAAGCCGGCAAAGTTTTCAAGTTTCACACCCGATGCTAAAAGGACTAGTTAGTAGTCTCTTCAAGGATGCCTTCGATTACCCAGACCGTGTGGGTCCATTTAGCTAGAAAAAGGGAGAAGAGGAGCAAGTTGCAGTGCGAAAAATCTTCTCGTGCTGATGTGTCATTGCATCATTCGGACACGCGTTTCGAGGAGGATGATCGGCCGGCTCCGAAATTGGCCTCGCCATCTCGAATTAGTGAAATTGGATTCCAAGACCTGTCATCAACATCATTGAAATGAAATGCATAAGAGGGATAAAAACAGATATTGAGTGAATTTTTTTTTTTTTGTCTAAAGCGCTTGTGCAAAAGGCTCAAGTTATTAGCTGGACTGGGCCAAACGATCGAGTCAATTGGATCCCAAGGGAATCTAATGCCCTCGAAGTGTACACGCAGCTGTGACAGGCGAGTTGGCGGAGTTGGCGTCCGGCCGACGGGTCCCACATGCTCCCTTGGACACCCGCAGCCACCACCATCATTCATCGTCCGGTCAATTCCGGGCCTGTTCGACGACGGCGACCCCTCGTGCTCATCTCCGTCTCGATCATTGTTGACCATCGAGTTACACCCTCGATGGAGTTTCGAGATCCGTGCACAAGTGTGATCACCGTACATGGCATCACAGCTCCCCCACCACGTACTTGTACTGATTGGTCCCACGAGGAACTCGAGAGGCGATAAATTTGGCTACATATTTTACCCAGATTCGTCGGATCTTTCTTGTGACATGCCATCGTAGACTGGCACAAAACTGAAGCTATCGAGTAGGATGATTGGGGATGTGCGGAGGAGATGTGATGGATGCGCAGTAAATTATGGAGGCTCCAAATGTGGAGTCCACGGAATAATGCTGTCCTGTCAGCAAGGAATTAAGCAAGATTTGGTCATGTCAGCATCGATCATTTGATGCCATGGCTTTTTCTCGCTTGACATGTATACATCACCTCCAATTTGAATCTGTCGCATCTTTGTATCAGATTATCCTTATCATCTTTGTCAAATATATTTATTCCTAAAATGAAATAATTTTATATCACACGTATGCTTACAAAATATAATAAAATTAATGTATATATCACTTATTTAATTTTTATTTTTTTTAACTCATCAGGCTTTATTTAATTTTAATTTTAATTTTTTAACTTAACTAAATATATATTTTTTACCGATCGGAATGGTGATAAAAGATTATCGATTCTAAATAATTAAATATTATTATTATTATTTAATTTATTATATATTTAAGTAGAAAAGATTAGGATACTTTAGATTGGATATGAGAAGATAATTGAATTGTGTTAAAGAGTTGAATCATGGGCTGAGGCTCATTCAAATAATAGATCAATTATCCATTTGATTGGATCATGATAATGTTACTCATCCAATGCTTATCAACTCATAGTTTCATGCATTTAAGCAATAAAATTAACCCTCCTTTATATTTCCTATCAGTTGTAAAACTTTTCTTCTAGTCACATAAAAATTGATACAAATTCCAAATAACTTTGGCTCTTTCTTCTAATATTTATTTTTGATGATAATAATACTAATTACACAGGGGAACAGATGCTGAAAATTTTAATTCTAGCTACCTTCTTCACCTCTTGTTTCTTTGATACTAAGGTGGAGACATCCAATTTGTTCTTGCAGTGGGGTATATAAATCATTTAGTGGCTGGAGTTACAGATATTGGAAATGGGAATCCATGCCATCAGAAAATTGCAGCATTTAATTTACAATCACTTCAGTCAAAATAGGATAACCATGATGGTATTTAAATTCCCAAAGCACAAGACGTTGTACCACTTGCCATCTGCTATTTCATGTCAACACAACAAAAAGTTCAGATGCCAACTTACAATTTGATCTCACGTTTAGGTTAATCTCTTATGACGATTCCATCTTGTCTGTAGATTCTTGAAGCCAAAGGGAACAGCAATGTGTATCATCAGATCAACCAAACCTGCAAAATGATTTGAGAAAATGAACAAGAAAGATGGAGATACCCACTCAAAATACAATAAGAAGAATGCCTGATTTCAGAAAGCAGCAACAGTAGAGTGAAATCAGTCTGATTTGTGTCAGGATCTCCCACATGTTCCGCAAACTTCTGGGGGTAGCAAAGGTGTAAGAACTGCACAAAGGCACACCATGATGAGAAGCAATCTGTGCATCATGCCAAAATCCATCTTGTGTATCACTAAATTCCACAATCAACAATAATAGCTAACAGTCAATGGTATTTTGTAGAAATCAGAAGATCACAGGGTCCTGGGTGAGGAGTATTATGAAAGATCATCAGATCAACAAGATGCAGCTCCAATAAAATTCAAGAAAACCAGATGCCAAAAATGTAAAAGAACTATTGATTAAAGAAAATATTGGGAAAAGATTGGGAAAAAACTATTATTCTAACACATATTTCAATACTTTACAACTCAATATTTTGTTCAAACTTCAATTATAAATCATATTCAATATTTATCTTAGCACCTTAAGATCAGATTCATTAGTGATGTTGTTGACGAGAGCAAAGATTGGGAAACTCTCCTGTCATCTTTCACTTTGGTGCTGTACCTCAAAATGCTGCCATCTCATAAGAAATAGATAAAGAGAAGGAAGATAAAATTCAGACCCAAAAGCATTAATTTATTTACAACTGTGACCTCATAAAGTTAGAGGAAAAGAACAGAACAATAGGAATCCACTTGCAAGAAAAATCTCAACCTTATCATGCCAGAAAAAGGAGAAAACTCGAAATCAGACACTTGCGACACCAAAAAAAAGAAGAATCCAAACTCAAAGATCCAGTTTTCAGTGCATGAGACAATGATTCTTTCCATAAAAAAAAAGATAAAAGAAAAGAAATTTATGTGCTTGTCATTTGCTTCAAAAGAAGAGTTCTTGTCATCTTCAAGGAATATATGCTTTGTTCTAAGTTGCATACCATTGTCAACTTCACTTTCCAACAGTTGCATTTCTCGTTGATGGTAGAAGAATGATCAGGAAAATTCAAGATCAATCATGCGGCTAAATTAATCCTTATACAAAGACTGAGAAGAGATTAAGAATCTATATGAGTAGTGTCTCTAATGCCACCATTTCTGTTTCTTTTCTAATCCATAATGAGCCACACAAAAGAAGTAATTGTGATTGTCTTAATCATCTTTTGGAATGACATTGATTCAACAACACTATTAAGTAGATGCTTATTTTAGAGAGGCCTATCTACTCGTCCTTATCCATGAGATCGGCCTCAAAGGTATCCAGGCTAAACAAGTCACGACCACATGGATGTGAATTCTATTGAACTACAACAAGTAGGACAAAATGAAATATTCTGTGTTAGGAGAAACTCTTTCTATAAACCTTGATACAATAAACATCTTTACGATACATTAACAAATTTAATTCTAACATTCTTTTTCTTTAAACTTATTTCATCACGTCAAGTTTCTTTCAAAGTTATTAAAATATTTTAAATTTGAAAGGTCTTTTAAGTATATTAGCCACTTGTTCACTTGATATGAAGTGGCTCCATTTTTTTATTTTTAACATGGTCTCTTATAAAATAAAATCATATGTCGATATGTTTATGATAGACTAGATCCTTAACTAAGGGAATAAATGATTTGTTATCAATATAATATTTGGTTGACTTCTCCTACGACATATGAATTTTTTAAGAGTATTCTTCTTAGCCATATTACATGACAAATAAAAGAAAATGTTGCTATATATTCTATTTCACAATTTGATAGAGTAATGATATGTTATGTTTTTTTAAAACCATATTAATATAGCTTCATCAAAATAAAATACAAATATGGTTATACTCTTTCGATCATCATAGCTTCTAACTCAATCGCTATTACTATATCCAATGAGTTTCAATCTTTTAGATGATGAATATAACATTTCATACTTTATTATTCCTTTAATATATTATAAAATTCCTTTAGCAACCTTTAAATGAGATGTCGAGTTTTCATATACCTACTTATTAAACTAATTCCAAATAATATATCGAGTGTTAAATATTAAACTAGACTTTTATAATAAGTTAGATTAATTAGTTTACCTTCATCTTCCTTAGTTAACTTGATGCCATATTCCATATGTGTATTAATTGGGTGACAATCTTCCATGAAATTTTTTTCTAGAATCTTCTTTGCATAATTCTTCAATGAAAAATTTTTCATTGTCTTGTATAACTTCGATATTGAGAAAATAAATCATTAGTTGGTCATTTGAAACTCCTTCTTTATAGAGTGTTTAAAATATTTAATCATAGAGATATTATTACCTATAAAAATTAAATTATCTACATACAAACATATAAATAGGATATCTCCATCAGAGTTAAACTGCGAATAAAGAGCATGTTCATGTGGATATTTAGAAAATTTATTTTGAATAAAATAATTATTTATCCAAGAAATCCATGGTCATGAATAATAAAACGAAAGGGATAATATATATATATATATATATATATATATATATATATATGATATAGATTTTATGACCCATTATTATAATTAGATAAGATATATATATATATATATATATATATATATATATATATATATATATATATATATATATATATATATATATATATATGATATAACTAATTAGATTCTGATTACGTCAATAGAAAAGAAATCCTACAATTTCTTATGAGATAAGAAGAACTCTCCTAATAATTACAATTATGAGATCTTATTATTTAATTGTAGAAAAGATTGTTTCATTTATGCTAAGTTTATGCTGTCAGTCTGTAATATGTCTCAGCATTAAAAGATCATTCTTTTGCTTGTGTTTATGTATATATTTTTGAATATGTATATATTTTTTAATAGATCTTATGAAGCATGTAACCAAACCGATTCCACCAAGTAATCTTCGTCAGCAATGGATTAAGGGACACACAAAGATTTCTTATCGATCCAGACAAACTGATACAATAATACATCCTAAAGGTGCAGCAGAGAGTTGAGCTCTAGATTATATGTTGCTTGCAGAAAGTTCTTGATGCAAAACAACCATTGTATACGACACAATGACAAAAGAATCAAGCTTCAACACTGAGGTCCACATTATAAGTTGCGTCCACAAGTCTCTTCTTCATGGTTTTTCGTGTTAGATCTCACAACTGAGATGAATGAATAACCTGAAGCAAAAGAATCATTGCCTGATCTCTCATGGTCTCCATGGCGCTGGGGGTGGTGGGGGAGTTGGAGACATCGGTGGAACCGCAGAGAACATAGTGTTCTTGTCCACTCCAGTGCCCTCACCAGACAAAGACACCAGGGCAGCAACTAATCCAGCATTGCCTGCCAGTGTTGGCTCGGTGTAGTTGTAGTTCGTTCGAACATCCCTGAACCCGTCTTGTCTATCAGGGCCGGCGACCATTGCGCCAAAAATGGTGTTTGGGTTTGGCTTTTTGGTGTCCCTCCACTTCCATCCTCCTTTGCAGCTATACTTCACCCCATTCTTTGGAATCGATGCACCCCGATGATGGACATGCTTAGGATAACGTTTGCCAAATCCAACGACATAGCTCATCTTTTGTGGATTTTTACCTAAAATATAATCAATCTGGCACACGAAGAGAATTAATCAGAGTTGATCCTAGAAGCTGTTTGATACAAGTACAGCATAATAAGAGAACAAACCTGAGTCCTGGCGAAATCACGTAAAACACCAGCAGGGAAGAAATTAGGGCCACAATACCATCCTGGAGTATCAGATGCTTCAAGATAGTCGCTGTAGACTGACGCAAGAAAAGCCACATTGACTACATACTGAAGGGGCTGTGGTCTTCCATGATTGAGTTGAATCAGACCACCTGTCGAAAACATGATCGATGAGAACCTCTTAAAAGGATCAATAACACCATTACCAAAAAAATAAAAATGTCAAACCTTTTGTCCGATTGAAGGAGTTAAAAACAGGTAGATATGAGCACATGACAATGCCGGTCTGGTTATGGAAAGTTCTCAGCATTTCTTCATATGGGTACCCAGGACTCAGGAACAGCCTTAATCTACTAAGAAGTACCTGGATGCAGAAGGGTGAAGATATGCATCTGAGAATTCTGTACAATGATAAAAGGAATTTGATTTCTGAAGTACAGTTTGATTGAATGTAAATATAACTCAGCTGAAATATAACAGAAGGTGATCACCAACAGTGACAGTCAAATAGAATGCATCTCCTACTACTAGATTACATTCCCTTGCTACTGGCAAATCTAGCTCAAACACAATGAAGAAGTTTAGTCATCATAAACAAAATTCTAGTAGCGAAAGAAGACCAATACAGCTTATTTTTACACCTAAAAAATAGTTGTCTTAATGCCTAAAACGCTATCAAAGGAAGTATATGATTAGAAAGGCAAAACATACATATAGTTTCCCATCAAATGTACTTCTCTTAGATCCTTCATTACTCTGATACTTATGAGTTTATGAAATATATCAGAAGATTATCCGGGACATGCAAAAGAAAATAACTATACGGTCAAATAAATCTGCATTAAGAACAATATGTCCTAATGATATTTCTTTTGCATTCGGTGCCAGTACTAATCTAATTGGTTAATTATAATGTCAGCAGGCTAAAGTTGACTCTACAGATCTATATTAAGCAGAGAAAACTTACTCAGTAATCTTCATACAGTGTCCTAAACAGATGAAGAATTCACAAAAGCAATATCAAATTCTCCATGAAGAAGCATAAACAGCGTAAGTGTCACTCACTTGAGCACCAGTGAGTTTGTTATCCCAGCTTAGAACTCCATAATCTGGACCGCCCCAAAAAGCACCAGCATGTTTCGCGAGCTTGGGATGAGTAGATAACTGGAGGTAGGAGGCATTGCCCGTTGCAAGGTACATCCATGCTCCACCCCACACAAACTCATCCCAGTAACTGGTCGAATTGTAGAATATGGAGGCATCGGATCCGCCCTCGCTGTACCGCCCCCTCTGGTTCCTTGAAAACTTCCAGAGCGTGGCCGCGCCATGGACAAGCTTCTGGGAGTAGGCCTTGTTGTCCTTGAACACGATGGAAGCTGCAGCCAATGCTGCAGCCATCTCTGCCGCAAGATCCGAGCAACTGTGGCACTCATAGACCGGCCGAGGGTAGTCGATGTCCTCTGGTCTCGTCCAACAGTAGTGGTCATTTGGGTTTGCTCCACCTGAAGTGGCACCTTGCCCGACCTGCCGTGCATCTCAAGAACACAAGCTTGGTACCACTAATCTGTATGTTTCAGCTTCTAGTTTTGGGATTCGTTTGATATACCTGCGTGGCGATCCTATCGATCGTATCGGCTGAGGAATTGAAGGTCTTGAGAAGGTAATCGACACCCCACTTGATGATCTCCTTGACATGGCCGAGCTCTCCGGCGGCGTCATACTTGGCGCTGTACTCGATCACGCTCCAGCTGAGCATGGTCATGGCGAAGGAGGCGGGGAAGTTGAACTTGATGGCGTCGCCGGCGTCATAGAATCCCCCGACAAGGCTCTTCCCGTAGGACGGATCGGATATGCCATCCTTCATCCCGGAGTTCCCCCTCCAGGACACGTTGTTGTGCTTGGGGATCGGCCCGGCTGCAAAAGGAAGGGAAAAAAGGGCTCCAGAGATCTCATTAAAATCTCGTCTTTCCATCAAAACCCCATCAAAATCAGATCTTTCGACGAGATCTTTGCTCGCATTGAGGAAGAAGGCGAGGGTGACTCACATCGCTGGGCGTTGAAGAACATAAGGGCCTTGTGGAGGGCGAGGGTGTAGTTGTCCGGCGGCGGCCGGGGGCGATGGTGGCGGGGGACGGTTTTCACGATGAGGGTAATCAGCCCAGCGAGCGCGGCCGCGGCGACGACGGCGCCCAGGGACCACAGGAAGAGCTTGCGGCTAACGATGAGGCAGCCCAGGTCCACGTACTTCTTCTTCTTTCCCTGGTCCCCCGGCCCGGCGAGCAGCCAGCTCTGCTGGGTCTCGTCCAGCTGCCGGGACGTCATCGACAGCGCCGCACGATCCAAATCCAGGTTGCGGCTCCGATCGTCATCGGTGGCGGAGTCCGCGTGGATCTCCAGCGGCCCGCCCCAGGGATCCCGCCCGTACATACTCATCCTTCCACCGTTTCCTCTGTCGCCGTTCTCCCTCCTCTAAAAATGAGACCTTTCTCTACTCCCTCCCCACCTTTTCTCCTTCCCGGCCGAGACCACCACAAGCTCTACTCCGGTGAGGTGACGAAGAACAGAAGCAACGCAAAAACGAGCTAAAAAGGCAGGGCGCCGCTCCAAAGGTCTCTTTCGCTTCACAGTCAGGCAGCGATGGGGACGGTGGGCAAAGCCAACAGCTGGTGCCGGTTACGTGATCGGATGGGAGAAGCGAGAGCAGTAGGAAGAAAGGGGAAGCGAGTAAAGCCTTCTCTCTCTCTTCTCGTGACGCCAGGATGGCGCTGGGGTCCGACGCCAGAGTTCGCCAGCTGGGGACAGTGGTCTGTGGACATGGCGGCGTGAGAAGAGGAGGGAGATGGCGGACGCTGGGGAGGGCATGTCGTGGAACGACAACATTGAATGCTGTTCCCCCACCGCAGACGCGTACTGGCCATCGGCCATACATCGGATACTCCCACGGGCGTTGCAAAGGCTCATTGAAAATTCTGTCCGAGCCCAAAAGCCATGTAGCCTCCAAATTCGAGTAAACAAATATTATTTAAGGTAAAATTATATGCATAATTTTTCATTATATATATATATATATATATATGTGTGTGTGTGCACACTTGTGTGCATAACCTCTTGGACTATTATATGAAGTAGATGAAACTTTTATGGAGTTTACAATTTAGAGTTTTCTTTTACTACTGACAATATTTTATTATTTTCTATTTTTTTTAAAATAAAAAAATTTATTATTTATCATCCTTCTCGATTAAATCCACCATTATGAAAAAGAAATTCAAGTGACTTTTAGTTTTTTTTTTCAAATCATTAATTTAAACATCCGAGAAGAATCTATCATTATCATAGATTATATTTTCTAGAATATCTTTAATTGGATGTAATTTTTTTCTAAAAAAAGAAATACTTTTATTAGGTTAAAATTGTCTTATAATCAATACCTTACTGTTTGAAAGATAGTAGAGAACATAGGCCATCTAGCTAATAATGCTTCCAAAGATTGATTAATAACCTTAGTACATCTAGCAAAATTAGTTAGTCAGTCGATATGTTTATTTTTTCCTCCAAATACATGCACGCATGATAGAATATTCAAATAAATTTTGCATTAAATGCAAAACATCTCTAGTGATATTGATCAGCTTTCATGCAGATCTGATTTTTCTCTCTAGAATCTTAAGCACAATATCAGTTTAGTAATTTGTTACCATGAGACGAATTTGTATCTTGTAAATAAATAACTAGTCTTACCTTTCCTAAGGTAAGGTATTAATCTGTACAATGATTCATTAGTATTAAGTTTAATCTAACCATCATTAAGAGGAAGTCATCTTACTATGATTTGATAATTTCTTATACAAGTCTCCTCTGACTCTAAGTAAGTATCATTACTTAAAAACTAAACAATACCATTACATATTATGTTCATAGTAGAAGACTTATTTTCTTAAAAATAAATCATCATAATCAATAAAAAAAAAAGAGTATAAAATTAAGACTCTAAGGATCATACATAGCACCTTAATTGGTTAGATCATCTATCTTCCTTGCTTAGTCATTAACCAACATATCATTGATATTTATATTTATATTTTAAGTATAATTTCTATTTATGCATATCCCACAGCCACACAAGAAACATTCATTCATGTGTTTACACAATCTCAAGTCTGTAAGCTTACATTTAGTAGAGAGATGACTCACTAATAATTTCTAACCAAATAAATGAAATTTTCCACAAAAACACGCATATAAGGCTCAATAATTAAATGCAAAATTATTGAGGGACTATATGTTTCTCATTAAATTTTGTGGGTCACGTGCGACGTACGCGTTGGCACGTGACAGATTCTTCTACTCGGTTGGTGCGGCGGGGTGGGTCACGGGGGCCCACCGGCTGCTGCCGGTTGAAGCCAAGAGGGCAGCCAAAAAAGACCGACGTATCACGTGACAAGTCCCTTCCGGTAACTCACCCCGCCGCGCCTCAGCAGACATTCTATCTTAACAAACCATTGGCCATTACTTGGGTCCCACTCACTGACCCATCATTCACTATGAGCGGATACCCTGTTCCTTACAAACTGTCGATCCCCCAGGGTCGAGATGATCGACACGGCTCTTTAGCCTGTATCCTGTTCGTTACAAAAATATAGCTCAACTCTACTGTAGCAGTTTGGTCCAAACCTGTGGATCCCACTCACTAACTTATCATACGATACACTGTTCAGACTGTATCCTGCTCGGAACCATCAGCCGATCCGCAGGCCTCCTCGTCACCACTACAGACAAACTTGAATGAATGCCTGTTCCTTGCAAAATGTGGATCCCGCTACCACTACAGTCGGATCGAACCGATCAACGCCGCTTTTCAGCCTGTATCCTGCGGATAACAAATATATCCGATCGACGCCTTTCGGGCCATCACTTCCGAGAGATTTCCAGACGAAGATCCGGCGACAGGTCGTCTCCTTCGCGGTGTCGGCAGGTACGCATGTGTTGATCTCTCTTCTTGCCGCCGCCATTTGTGTTCTTTGGATCGAATTTTTCGGCGAATCTGGAGAAGTATGGCCGAGTTAGGGCTTCTTGGTCTTGTGCTTTATGATTTGTTGGCTAGTCGGAACGATTGAGATCTATCTGTTGCGTCGCTTGTTCTCCCGCTTTAATTAACATACCTCTGTGTCTAGTGGAATAATGGCATTCTTCTTTCCTTGTTGTTGGAATCATTTATCTTTATATCGTCTTCTGTGACAAAGATTCCTCGGCAATTGTGGTGCATATTTTTCTTGTTCGATTGGGGGGGAGCAAGATGTTTAGTTTAGTTTCATAAAGGGACACTTCAATAAACTATTCGGATGAGGAGGAGGGGATCACGAAGTGGAAAGATCGTTGTTTCCAGCAACAATTTCACCTCTTGTAGCAGGCTTTAGAATTGAATCCTAGACCTTTGATCTAAAGCAACTATTGCTATCAAATAGTTAAATGCTTGATAAAGTAGTGAAATAAAAATACTTAAAGGTTGTTAACTCATATTTTGATTGTCCGAACTGGAATCATCACACCCCTAACAAATGCAAAAAACCAAAAAAAAATCGAATTACGGCTTGAATACAATCTTTGGTAAATGACTATGTTTCTTTCAGATGTAAAATTTGTCAGACCACCATCGAACCAATGTCTTTATTGGCTAATCTTGTCTCACTCGATTTTTTCGGAAAACCATGAATTGCTTCTGAAAAAATGGTACTTTGCTTGACCAGCTTTCCATGATTGCATTTTGTTTGCAAGTGAGTTACTTTCTTTTCCTTCATAAAAAATGAAATCATAAATGCTTTGCTACAGACTATTGATAGAGACGTATACAGTGAACTCTATAGAAGACAAGAGAGCCTCGAGCTTGCCAACCATCCAACAGTTTCCATCATTGAACTTTCCTTAAAGCCAGTACAAGTCATTGCTTCCAAGTCTAGCTTTGGTCCTTTTGAGATGTTTAGACTTTTCTTGACTTTCGTTGCATTGTGGATGCTTCTAACCTTGTGTAATATCATTAAATCAATTGTTCAATGAATTGATCGGAAGAATACTAATCATCATTGTCACAGGATCTAATGGCCAGTCAGATGGAGTTAAGAATGTTACATACACCTTGGATTTTGAGTTTCCTAGCTTGCAGCTAAGATAATTAATAAGCCCCACTGCATGTTGAATGGAAACTATCTTTTTTCCCCTTTGAAATATTTTATCTGATTCTGTATTTGTTAACCATATTACTGTTTATAATCCTTCCAATTGCTTCCCTACAGATTTTTTTTGGAGACGAAGCTACTTGCTTCTGTGACGATGACATCGGACCTCTGGCTTCTATGCTTTAAAAAGGTTGTCAGGGTGAAGTTTTTGGGACACTCTCCTTTGGACAGGTACTCCCTAAACTTTGTCAGAAGTTTCTTAGGATTTCAGGCAACTGCATATAAGGATATCATATCAAAGATTAATATTTTTCCCAATAAATGTTGATGCTTAATAGATTGTTTCTTGTTCAGCATAAATTTTTTTCTTAGCCATCTAAACCTTGGAGGGCATACTATAAAAAGAAATCTTGAGGCCTTTTCATGTAAGTTTGTGTGATTTACTTGCTTGACCTTTGATGTCATTTGGGAAAGGACAAATTTTAGATGCATCTTTCCTTGAGTCAAACAGGTACGCAAGCAGGATAGAAAGATAGAGATCTCTCTTTTAGAACAAAAGATACTATAATTATTTAACTTCATCGATACTTGCAAAAATGAAAATTATATTTTTATTATTTTCAGTTTCATAATTCCTATATGACATCTGACTCAAACGAAATTAGTGTATTTTCACTCACCAAATGAGGGTTACAAATCTAATACGATAAATTTTTACACTTACAACGTTGATATGTTGATAATATACTTACTAAGGGTAAAGACTTTGATGCTTTATAGTGTTTGTGTTAACACCTTTTAAGCTGTGGCCTCGGGATTGACGCAGCTTGGTTCAGATCCGAATGAGCGGGGATCTTCCTGGGGAACCTGGGAGGCCACTGGGGTGGCTGACTTCGCTAGGTGCGATCGGGGACGGGTCCGCCGTCTTTTCCGGGTGGAGGCTCCCCTTTTGGGCGTCCGGGAGAGGCGCTCCACCTTCGTACCTACACACAGGTCGGGTCGGAAGAGCTCGGTCCGACCCCTCCGACGATCAAGTTAGTGAATAGTCATATGGGGTTTTTGTTGTCTCTTCCTCCTTTTCATCGGAGCGCGAGGGTTTTTATAGTGAAGGTTACCGTTGTCTGATGTGCTCGCTTCCAGGGAACATAATCGTACTCCTGATAACGTCTAACATCGACGTTGGCGTAGCGTGAAGGACCGAACCTGAGCAGGATGTTAATGTGCCTCGGTCGACATTTCGATCCGTGTTGATCAGGTGCTGTCAAGTTAACAGAGGCGCGAGGCGTCATTTGGGGCAGCTGACGTCAACCCAAGTCTTATCGCCATTATTATCCTCATCAGATAGCAAAGTCTCGAGGTAAATATGTTAATCCTCCGGTAATTTACAGGGATATCAAGTTGGCCAATATGCTTTTGGATCATAATTTAAATGCAAAAGTTGCAGATTATAGTCTCTCAAAAAGTTGGTGACAAAATTAGTACTCACTGCCAGTCATCATCACGCATGATTCGGCTCCGTTCACATTTTTGGGAGATGCTATTTTGTCAAATCCTTTTTTCTCTATAATTGTTTGTACAAGAAACTAGTTCCAATCTCATCAACTATTTAACATGGCAATTTGTTACTTGGGCATCTTGATGACTTGTTATCTTGGTGTCAAATTTCACAGGGTGATCTTGATTCTGATTATTTCTGGACGAACAAATCGACTGTGAAAAAAGTGATGCTTTCAAGAGGTTTGCAGGTCTGACTTTTGAGATGCACAGATTTGTGAGCTAAATCGATGAAGCTGTGAAGCAAATCCGTATGATATCGTAGAATTTGGACTGAACACAAAGTTTATCTTAATCATTTTCACTAAAGGAACCAAATACTTGTAAGCCTCTAGTATTATCCTTATTCTCGTATGCGGCTTATCTCGAAAAGATAAAATTGTGTAGATTTATTTAAAACAGATAATTTCTTACCAGTGTTCGCACTCTTGCAGGGGGGGGTAAAACATTGACAGTATTTGCAGAAAAGTCATTCTAATTAATGCTGCATCTATCTGCATTCAATATCGTGCAAGGAATAGTCATTGTTTCTCTGTACATGGATTACATCATTTCAATTAAAATCTCTGACTATTACATTTGACTTTGAGATTCATGACCTCAGCAGAAACTTAAAGCTGGCCAGTTATTGAAGATCCCTGACTCCTCCATTCCATCATCGTCGACTTAATCCTGCTTTAAACTTATCGTGTCTGACCTGTTCATCCGAAGTGCATGGCAGATATGCGGTACGCAATGACGCCATCTCGTACAAGAAATGGATCATCTGAAACCCACATACGGTTCTCCGTCTCATTGATGTGACGGTGCATGTTCATTTCTTGTGCAGGCACAAACGATGTCGACTCCCACAATACCTGCAACAAAAATTCAGTCACAGATCCATGAAGTTACCACTCCAACTTGCATGCAGCATTAAAATGCTTTCAGTCGTATCAACTGGCAAATCGATGCACTTCACCATGTGATGAATGAAATCTTTAGATAAAGCATAGTGCAGTTCATAGTCATGATCAGTGATGCACTATTAATTTTGGTAATCTACCATAAGGCTATGATATCAATATACTAAAAATAAATAAAATATTAAAATATTAGATACGGATGATACTGGACCATATTCCTCAAATCAGTACATACCAGTTGGTCCGTACTTCACGCCAAGTCAAGATTTCAAGCTTGATCAAACTACCAGGTTGCTTCCTGGAAGCTTTACCTCCACTCCTTAGAAAGCTTCATGTCACCGTGTATTGTTCCTGGTCATACCACAATCTCCTTGCACGGATGTGGTTCTCAGGTATCTTATAAAGCTCTAGTCCAAAAAAGATGCACGAGTTGACCAACCATAGAAATGTCAAACCATAAAAGCTTCTGAACTAAGAAAACTTATGATATCCTCGTAGCCTAGTCAGACGTGAGCAGCTTGTCTTGGTCTCCAATTCTAAGTTGCATATTTGTGAACCCTTCTCACCAACTAAGCTCGAGGAAGAACAACGATCAGCATCCTATTTCAAAACTCTTTATCCTTGTAGACTGGTCAGACAAAAGAAAATTGACCTTGGTTACCAATTCTAAGTGGTAGAATTGTCATAAGGTTACTATTTTTATCATTCTTCATTGCATTGTTTATATAGGTCATCTCCTTTCCTCCTCGCCCATCAAACTGAAGGAAGAGCAAAGATCATCATCTCCTTAATCCTCAACTAATAAGCTTCAGAAGAAGGTATGAGTTCTGGCACAAACCCTCTTAGTGATTCCTGGAATTCAACCGTGATCAATCAGAATTATGGCATGTTGGCAGTCATCTCCTGTGTTAACCATGCTGCTGATGAAGGGGTTCCTTCTTCTGTTCATCATCATTGCTGGTCTTCATCAAGGCTCAAGTAAAACAGATCCAGCAGATGGTAATTCCTCCTTTCTTACTTGAAACTGCAATCTGAATTAGTTTCTTGCCTAACTATATTTTGCTTGGTGTTCATGTTTGTCATATTTATTGTGATGTTAGTCTTCATTGGCTTGCACCGTAGTCAAGGAAGATCAATCAATGTTTCACGCTTTGTTTATGAAAGAGTAGAGTAATTTTTTTTCTTTTTTTGTTGATCATTTAAACTGGAAGATTAGTAGAAAGGATGATGCAGTTCATGTAGTAATCTGCATGTAAAGGCTAATAAGATCAACAAAACTTACAGTGTCTGCTCTCAAGTCTCTATCTAGCCAATGGAAGAACACACCTCCCAGCTGGAGGAATGCCGGCGACCCCTGCGGTGAATCTGGCGAGCCATGGGAAGGAGTAAACTGCAGCAATTCGCGGGTGATGGAAATGTGAGTTGTTCCCTTGAGACAACTGAGTGCTTTGAATTGTTCCCAAGACTAATTCTGTTGCTTACAGAAAGCTATTCACCATGGGGCTTGAAGGTACTTTAAGCAGTGAAATAGGGAACCTCGCCAATCTGGAAGTTCTGTAAGTAGTTTATTTATAACTCTAGCAGAATATTCATCAATCATGATATATGTCCAGGTTTCTTACAGATAATAATCTGAAGATATATAGAGTCACACATTATAATCTCAACCAGAATGAACTTTGATCTCAACATGTGTAAATGCAGGGATCTCTCCCACAACCAAAATCTTCGTGGTACTATTCCATCAAGCATTGGGATGTTGAAGCAGCTCCATACCTTGTAAGGCATCAAAATAGCTTGACACATGTAAAGCAATCATGTAATCGACATAACTTGATGTTCTCTTCATGATCTAATAGGAGGTTACTCGATTGTGGATTCAATGGTACCATCCCAAATGAGATAGGCAATCTTTCGTCGCTCAAAATCTTGTAATGATCTCAAAGCACCAATCTTTCTATGACATATGAATTGTTCATGGCATTAGACTCTTTAACTCTTCTCTCTTTGATGAACGCACCAGAGCTCTGAATTCAAACCAGTTCAGTGGCAGAATTCCTGCTTCTCTTGGTAGCCTCTCCAACCTTGACTATCTGGATCTGGCAGACAATCAACTAACTGGAACTCTCCCAACTTCAGCAAGTGAGGGATCGGGATTAGATCAGCTCGTCAACACTCAACACTTGTGAGACTCTTCAATCCTAAATGAATTCTGCATACAGATGAACATATTAATACTAATAATCAACTTCTCTACTATGTGTTTAACAGCCATTTGAACAAGAATCATTTATCAGACTCGATCCCAAGCAATCTGTTCAGCTCCAATACGAAGGCCATACATATGTAAGCAGCAACGTCACTGATATCTTCTTGCTTTTGTATTAGCACTAAGTGTCTTCTGCTTCCTAACAATTGTCTGTGTTCAGACTCCTTGACAACAACAATCTCATTGGGGGAATTCCAGAGTCGATAGGACTTGTTCAATCACTAAAAGTCCTGTGAGTGTTTGCTAACCACATTATCCTGTTTATTTTAGATTCATTTGTATCTGACATTACTCACTCTTTATCAGTCGTCTGGACAATAATTCTCTAAGTGGATCAGTTCCATCAAGCATCAACAACCTTACGAACCTTGATGTACTGTAAGTGGTTGATGAAACCAGTAGTACTAAACACTTGGTCATCATGGTTAATTCCACTTTATTTGCTATTGTTCATCACTTTCAGAAACTTAGCAAACAACAAACTAAGTGGACCGATGCCAAATCTGACAGGAATGCATGTACTCAACTATCTGTAAGAATCGCGTACCTAGTAATGCATGTAGTAAGAAGTAGAACTTGATGACCCATGCACGGATGATGTCGTTTGCAGGGACTTGAGCAACAATTCCTTTGATCCTTCAGAAGCTCCAAACTGGTTCTCGGATTTACATAATCTCACAACACTGTGAGTTCAACAGGCGCCCACTTTAAATTCTTGAATTGTGTGATTCATTTATCAAATAGAAGTTTCAACCAAAAGACTGACTCTTGCTTGGTGGTATCAGAATCATAGAGTCTGGAGGATTGCATGGGGAAGTGCCACAAGATCTGCTTAGCCTGTCTAAGCTGCAGGAAGTGTAAGAATTTTGCGACAAGATAGATAGATCGATCGATCTTTTGAGAATCCAGCTGAATAATCATCTTGTTGCAACTTCTTCTTTGTCCTGATTATTTGGCAGGAGGCTCAGCAATAATGCATTCAGTGGTACCCTCAATATGAGCAGCAACATCACTCAGGGACTAAAGATCCTGAATTTTCAGAATAATCTTCTTACCTCGGTCACCCTCTCTTCCTACTACAATGATACTCTAATGTGGGTATTGAAAATTAGAAGCTAAATCTTCCATTCCCAAGCCCCTTTGCTAATCTGGTATTTACCTGTTCCAAACCTGATGCAGACTCGAGGGGAATCCAGTTTGCAGCAATGTTCAGCTAAAACACACACAATACTGCCAAGGTCAGGTGCAAGACGCACAATCCAATGCCTCCAACAGTGTCCCCTGCCTGCAGCCATACGAAGGGCCAATCATTTGCAGAGCACCTTTCTTTGGCTACATAAGCGATAATAATCTTGAAGCTCTGAAGAAGAGGGTTACAGAAAAACTTGAAGGGACTCCAGTTACATTCGTTATTCGCGATTCCAACTTCGATGACAATGCTTATCTCCGAGTGCAGCTTGACTTATGCCATCCAACTGCAGAGTCCTTCACCAGGCAGGACATATTGCTCTGGTTAGATCTAAATACCCAAAGCCTCTTGATTCCAGAAAAGTATGGACCATGCTATTTCAATCCTAACCGATACGAATTCAGAAACGGAGGTATCTGATCTGAATTCTTAGTCTTGTGGGAAACTTAGCGATCCATTTGTTGATGTTGTTGTTGTTGTTCTTCTTCTTCTTCTTCCATGAGTCTCAGAGACACGAGGATGGATCGTTGGAGTAGCAGTTGGAAGTGCTGCTGCGGTGTTCATCATTGCTGGGCTTGGAACCTACGCACTGTGGCAGAAGAAACGAGCTAAACGAGCCTTGTACCGAAGCAATCCTTTCGGTAATCTACTCCATGAGAACACATCATTCCTCCTGTGAGACGTTTGCTGACGGTCTCTTCTCCTTGTATCAGCATCCTGGGGATCAAGTGTCAAGGAAGCTGGCAGTGCGCCGCAGCCGAAGGGAGTGAGATGCTTCTCCTTCGACGAGCTAAGGAATTGCACGGATGGATTCTCGAAAGCCAACGAAATCGGATCAGGGGGATACGGCAAGGTAAGGACGTCCGCAACATCAGATTCACTGGATGTAGCACTCCAACCGTTTGTCGTATTGCCCGTGCGCAGGTCTACAGAGGACTGCTTCCGGACGGGCAGATGGTTGCCATCAAGAGGTCGACGAAGGGCTCCACGCAAGGAGGAGAAGAGTTCAAGACGGAGATCGAGCTGCTCTCCAGGGTGCATCACAGGAACCTGGTGGACCTCGTCGGCTTCTGCTTCGACAAGGGGGAGCGGATGCTGGTCTACGAGTACATCACCAATGGGACCTTGAGGGACTGCCTCTCAGGTACGCACGCGCTCTCAACGGAGCTCTTCCTGCTCATGGCATCGTCTTCTACTCACCGATGAATGCAGGGAGGAGGAGTGTGGCGTTGGACTGGAGGAGGAGAGTGAAGATCGCGTTGGATTCAGCGAGAGGGTTGGCTTATCTCCATGAACACGCCAATCCGCCCATAATCCATAGGGATGTGAAGGCCACCAACATCCTTTTGGATGATCACTTGACGGCTAAAGTATCAGATTTTGGCCTCTCCACCTTCGTTTTGGACAGCGAAGAAGGCCATTTCTCGCTCGATGTCAAGGGCACACCGGTACTCTTACACTAATTTGTTCTGAATTTTCATCAACGTCAACAAGTACATGTACTTAACGACTCTGTCTTTTCTTCTTCTTCTTCTTCTTCTTCTTCTTCTTCTTCTTTGTGATGACCATTGCAGGGCTATCTTGATCCCGAGTACTTCATGACCCAACAATTCACTGCAAAGAGCGACGTGTACAGTCTTGGAGTCGTAATGCTGGAGCTGATAACTGCGATGCCACCGATAGCGAAGGGCAAATACATCGTTCGGGAAGCGAAGATAGCAGTCGACGAGGACGATAACGAATACTACGGCCTGAAGAACATGATCGACCCATCGTTACTGAACACAAGAAACCTTGATGGATTCCGAAGGTTCACAGAGTTGGCTTTGCAGTGCCTCGATGAGTCGTCCGTCCATCGCCCGACGATGAACGACATCGTGAAGGAAATTGAGATCATGTTGGGGAAAGACGAGCCGAACACTGACTCAACCTCAATTTCTGTGCATCCTCATGATGAGATTCTCGTGAGCACGGATGTGAGCGGCGAGCACATGTTTTCCAGTCGAAGTAGCCAATACTTGCTCTCTTAATTATGGTTTTTGGATGTTTAAGAGACCAGTGGTTGTAAATGGTAGGGACGTTAACAAACTCTTCTTGTGATTTATATTATAATGTCATTATATACGTTAATATTCTATGATTATTATGTATCTTATGCCTTAAATTTTATGTTAATAATATATCATATTATTATATTACTATCATTTTATTATTATATTTAGTGTTTTTATGTGTGTTAATGTTCAATGATTATTATATACCTTATATCAAGCTCATCATCTGATTCAATTCACTCATACTTGGATACAAATTGCATTTGTAATGGCTAAACTTTTTTTTTTACTTTTTTTTCTATTTTAGGATATTAATGACACAAGCAAAATAGAAATAGATATACACATTTTTTAAAAAATTATAAATATGAATTAAATGTTTTTAAATTTAACTATGAATATGACTACAGAGGGGTTGTTGTTGTTGTTGTTTGCTGTTGTTGAAATTTTATTTCAGTCCTAATTGAGTTTCAACATAGCAAACTTCCCCTACAAATTATGATAGAGCGTCAAAAAATTTTAGATAAACCCACTTGCAACCATGATTGCTAGAAATAAGTTTAAATTAAATATATATATATATATATATATATATTATTTTTTTCGAAAATGTTAACTAACTTAACTGATAAAAGCTTTGACAGCACACAAATCATAAAGTTCAGTGATGTCAACTAAAATTTCTTCCTACTTTTTAACACTCGAATGATTGTCAATTGATAGACATTAACTATAAGCAAGATAGATACAAAAATAGCTAGTCTTAAATTTAGAGAACAAATACATGACTTTAAATTGAGTTATTTATTGAGGCAATTGAATGAATTGTTGAGCCTTATCTTTACATCAATTTCATACAATGATACCTTCATGCATTTGGATTCATGGCAACGTCATACCAGTATTGAATTCAAGGGGGCAGTGTGCAGCAGACATGCCCACATTCATCTCCTCTCCCAAAGCTGATGAGGTTGAGAGGGCCACCACTGAGCTGTGTGGGGGCCATGCAAGGGAAACAGCTCCTCTGCAGAACCATGTTCAAGCATTGTATTGCTCCACCTTTTGCTGCTTAAACACCACAAAAGATGCACTTCTCTCTCTACCAATTGCTGAACACCCCCATACAAACATAATATCTCGTTAGTAGACTTGTACAAGAAGTTTGTCATAATGTCACCAATCCAAATCTTTAGTGTTGACTGTACAAATCAATGATACATTCTTTACATTCTAAGCTAAAGCACCATTCTCGGTAGTGTCTTCTCTTTAAAGTTAGTTAATCTTTAATATCTAAATATAAAAATCTTAAATTAAACTCAAAGCAAAGTCCCAAATTCAAAGAAAAGAATATATATATATATATATATATACTATCACAAGTGTTATCTTGTTTTTGACATCCTAATTACTTTCCACTAATGGTCTTTCATATGACTGTGTTTTGTTTGATCCTCTTTTTCTTTGTCTGAGTTTGAGATTTCAAAATTGTACCTTCCTTTCTCAAGCGCCCTCTTCTGTGGTTGGCTTTGTCTCTGTTCATGCAATCTAACAGCAGAAGCATCCTTGCCCATCCAAGACTTGGGATATGTGACAACTGCAACTTCAGGTCACTTCCACTGCTATCAGTCAGCCTGAGTAGAAGCAAAGCTTGAGCCTTGTTGCCTCTCTTAGAAGACCAGGGGAGTTTATGTCTCCTGGTTATATTTGAGCCAAGATTATGCCTAAGAGTAGCCTCTTTCATCATCACAGCTGATTGTGTGATGTCCTCATAGCTGAGATTGCCTAATGATAATTACGAGTTATATGGAAAGAACAAAATGCACAAAATGATAATTATGAGTTCTACCATCCGCCAAGGTTGCCAGTGACTGAGTCCTTACGGTTGTCAAAAAGAACACCAACTAGGACCCTGATAATGCTGTGACAATTGAGCTCGTCCTCCTCTACATCCAACAAATGATTGTGTTTTGCACATGATAAGTTGCTTACCTGCAAAGAATGAAACCATGTCACTTTTTAGATCATACACAATACACATGCATGGTTATAACTAGTGAGTTCAGAAAGTTGGTGGGAACATAACTGAGTGCTAAGAAGAGTAGAAGAGAAGGCATGGCGAGGGTCCACAATCCACACAACAACTCTTTCCATTAACACCACTTGAAGCCAAAAGAATGCCATCTTACCTCTTGCAATGGACATTCTGGAATCAATGGTTTCACGAGGTCATCCAAGGTTGACTGACTTTGAAGAGAAGGCACAGCTTTTGGCAAAAGGATCTTTTGCCAGCTTCAAGATCTTATGATGAGGAGAATCATGGCAGGCAAGTCAGTTGTTGGCTCCTGTGCAGACTAACTTCAAGAAAATATGGCTTCTAATACCAGGCTGAGCTGATCACTGTGTCTGGCGAGAGGTGGAGTTTCATCTATACTAGGCCAGACTGAGATGGGAACCCTCATCTTCACCCTATCTGTTTTCCTTGTCAGTTTAGGATCCAGTTCAGGAAGCACAAATCCCCAAGATGGTATGTACTCCTTGTGTTTATCTCTCCTCTTTCTAGTATCAGGAAAACAGAATGCAGAGAAGAGGGAGATCCATTCTTCTTGGGCCAACATCTGTAGTAGTTTTAGTGTTCCCCTGAGAGTGCTGAGCTTTGTTATTGCTATTCTGTTTCGCAAACCTGTCTGCAAGAACAAAGGATCTTCTCAACTCACCAAAAACAAAATTCCAACTTCACGTTTCTAGTGAGCCGGAAAAACTCACCATTGCATGTAGTATTTTGCATGCTCCAATAGTTCTTGGTCACAAATACTTATAGAGCTTCTAACAGAAAATTCAAGGAACAATTCTCAGCAAGGATCAGACACTTGACTATTGGATCTGATTAAAGATTTCTTGTATGCTTAGCAGATGTCTTATGTTTGTACCTTTTGACTTAAGAAGCTATTCTGCTACGACTTTCAGCTGCTGCTCTGCGTTCATTGATGAGTCAGTGGCAGAACACACCTCCAAACTGGGGAAAGTCGGATGATCCTTGTGGAACACCATGGGAAGGAATAGGTTGCAGCAATTCCAGAGTGACAGTCCTGTAAGCCTCTCTTCTGAACAATCTTTTGTTTCAATTATCACAATTCTCCACATGATTTCAGGAGACTGTCAAACATGAGCACTAAAGAACCCCTCTTTGAACTTGTTTTTTGGTTTTTGTTATCTTAATTCTCTACTTGACTTCTGCATATTTCAGGAGACTGTCAACCATGGGCATCAAAGGTACACTGAGTGGTGACATCGGGCAGCTTGGTGAACTGAAGACCTTGTAAGTTCACTTTCAAACTCAAGTATTGGTTCTTTGAGCAGTTTGCCTGATTCCAGGTAGATAACCAGTAAGGGTTCATAACAATTCATAATTGGCCTCTTCAATCAAGCATCTACTAGATCAAGCATGCATTCCATTAAGGATCTAAACAGCGTCTGTACTATGTTATTAACCAAAAAAATTCATTATCTATTAGAGTCCACATTTACTAAGCACATACTGATATAACAGTCAAAGTTATGATTTACAAACTAAAGCAGCAAGATATGATCTGAGAAATATAAAGAAGGAACTTACAAATAGCTTTTGCAGGGATCTATCCTATAATAGTGAGCTTGGTGGTCCACTCCCTCCAAATATTGCGAACCTGAGGAAGATTACCACCCTGTAAGGCAGAAGTCTTGTCGCGACAATCACCCATTTGCTTCAAAAGATTCTCAGGTATTCATCATGTAATGCTTCTGAACTGCTCTACATTATGCACCACTTGGCAGGATCTTGGCAGGGTGCAGCTTCAGTGGGAACATCCCAGATGAACTAGGATCTCTAGTAAACCTCTCATATTTGTAAGGATTGATTTCAATAATCACAAATCAGTTCACCTTTAGAACGCAGAGTCTTCAAGCTAAAAAATTTAACACATCCATCAAGCATCTGAATTCTCACCACTGATAGTTTTATCTTCTCACCAGGGCTCTTAACTCAAACCAGTTCACTGGTAGCATCCCAGCTTCCCTGGGTAAGCTTTCCAATCTTTACTGGTTTGATGTTGCAGACAATCAGTTGAGTGGGTCTCTTCCAATCTCTACCAAAACATCACCAGGCTTGGACCAGCTTGTCCACACAAAGCATTTGTAAGTCATATTTCTAAAAAGTACAAAAATAAGTCAAAATTAGATTTAGTATTGCAGATTAAATGAATTGACAGATGAAATTTTGTATTATTTGCTTACTAATGAATGATTCGTCTGCATCCTGCACTGAACAGCCACTTCAATAAGAATCAATTATCAGGTTCCATCCCTGAATATCTTTTTAGTTCTGACATGACATTGCTACATGTGTAAGCTGCTGTTTTCCCATCTTGCATTACTTCTGCTAAATCTGGTAACTCCACATCTACCATGACTCCTGATCATTCTACACGGGCAGGCTTTTCGATGGGAACAAATTTACTGGAGAAATTCCAGCTTCTATAGGACTAGTTCAAACACTTGAGGTTCTGTAAGTGCCCACCAACCAGACAAAAATTTTCAATGCTCTGCATCAGTAACTAATTTCTTCGTTTTTTGACAGTCGATTGGACAGGAATGATCTAGGTGGCACAGTTCCTTCCAATATTAACAATCTCACGCGCATCAACGAACTGTAAGATACATCATATCGTGTAGTCTTCACATGCAGCACTCTTATAAAATAGTTGCACCTACTCCCTGCTTTCATCTCTTTCAGAAACCTAGCAAATAACAAGTTAACTGGTCCAATGCCAAATCTGACTGGGATAGATAACCTCAACTATGTGTAAGAGCTCATCCAACTTCTGCAAATGCTTTCTTGCAAATCTACTTTTGTTTTATTACCTGAACAGTTGTAAATGGCAAGACATTGACATGATCTTCAGAGATTTAAGCAATAACACATTTGATCCCTCAGAGAGCCCCGCTTGGTTCTCGGAGCTACAATCTCTGACAGCTCTGTAAGTTCAATGGGTACCCATTGTCGCTATGAAGCAAGTAATTTAGTCAACAAGTTTGCAATTTCACCAAAGCTTCCTTGCTGCCTGTTATCCAGAGTGATAGAATCTGGAGGACTTTATGGAGAAGTACCACAAAAGCTGTTCGGCTTTCCTCAATTACAGCAAGTGTAAGTGTCATGAAAAATCACGAACCGGAGAAAGAAGGAATCCATACAAAAAAGAAAAGGAAATTCTCACTCAGTCTGACATAACTATTATTGTCAACTTTTCACAGGATACTTGATGACAATGAATTCAATGGTACCCTTGACATGGGTGATAGCATCAGCCAGCAATTACAAATTGTGAATTTCAAAAATAATCATCTTACCGGAGTCAAACTGACAGCCAACTACAATAAAACTCTAATGTGATATTTGTCATTTTAGTTACAGTGCATTTCATTCACCATACCTGTTTATGCAACATTTCCTAAATCCATCACTGACTGCAGACTCGTAGGAAATCCTGTGTGCAATTCTCTCTCCAATACAAACTTTTGTAGTCTTCAACAAAAGCCAGCAGTACCTTACTCAACCAGCCTCGCCAATTGTGTAGCAAACTTGTGTCCCCAAGACCAGAGTCTCAGCCCTCAGAGTTGCAGCTGTGCCTACCCATTTGAGGGAGTGATGTTCTTCAGGGCACCTCGTTTCAGAGATGTGACAAACAACACACTGTTCCAATCATTGGAAAGCAGCCTGTGGACAAAACTTGGCCTTCCTCCTGGATCAGTGTTTCTTCAGAATCCCTTCATAAACAGTGACTCTTATCTGCAGGTCCAAGTTAAACTTTTCCCACCCAGCGGAATGTACTTCAACAGGTCTGAAATTTTGCAGATTGGGTTTGATTTGAGCAATCAAACTTACAAGCCTCCACCAATTTTTGGACCTTACTACTTCATTGCATCCCCATATCCTTTCCCAGGTGACCTCTCAATCCTTTGTGTACATATATAATTCAAGATCATCGCCTAGACTAACCCAAAGAAGTCATTTCTAGGCACTGAAGTAAAATCAGCACTGAGTATTGGCTTGATCATTGGAATAGCAGTTGGTTGTGCCCTTCTGATTATTGGACTTCTTCTTGTAGTAATCTATGCCTTGAGACAAAGGAAACATGCTCAAAGGGCCATTCAACTAAGCAGACCTTTTGGTAAGTGTTCCTTATTCCAGTTGTCAAAATAAAAAGCACTATGCAGATACAAGGGGATGCTGAAAGTGCCATCATCAGTTTTGATACATGGCTAGGAATACATGCTATATTCTAAGACAAACATACAAGAAATATAATATAACTGAATAAACTAGCTAAACCGAGACTGTCGGTAGTGCTTCAGTCTGCATCCAAGAAAAGTACCAGGAAAGCATCTACCATTTACAACTCATCTTGTAATTTCAGCATCATGGGCACGCAGTGGTGATGAAAGTGGTGATGCACCACAACTGAAGGGAGCACGATGGTTTTCTTATGATGAACTGAAACAATGCACCAATAACTTTGCAGTATCTAATGAAATTGGATCTGGAGGGTATGGAAAGGTAACATATTGGCTATCCTATGTAAAACTTCTCTAATCACAGGACATATGCAGATGACATTTTTACCTATCTACTCAGGTCTACAGAGGAATGCTTCCGGGAGGACAAGCGGTTGCAATCAAGAGAGCACAGCAAGGATCAATGCAAGGTGGACTTGAATTCAAGACAGAGATTGAGTTGCTGTCCAGGGTTCATCACAAAAACTTGGTAGGGCTAGTAGGTTTTTGCTTTGATCAAGGGGAGCAGATGCTGGTATATGAATTTGTACCAAATGGAACACTAAGAGAAAGCCTCTCGGGTATGTTCAACCGTACCCCAAAAATTCCCTCTGCTCTTTCTGTTATAACCTTCTTGCTACAACATCAACCTCAGGAAAGAATGGGGTACTACTAGACTGGAGGAGGAGACTTCGAATTGCACTGGGTTCAGCAAGAGGATTAGCTTATCTTCATGAACTTGCTGATCCTCCAATTATTCACAGGGATGTTAAGTCAAGTAACATCCTACTGGATGAAAATTTAAATGCAAAAGTTGCAGATTTTGGCCTCTCAAAGTTAGCATCAGACAATGAAAAGGGACATGTTTCAACTCAAGTAAAAGGAACATTGGTTAGTAGTTATTCTATCCACCTGCCTGAGAATTGCTTCCATGCACCAGCATATATTCTTTTATCATGACTTCCTAGAGAATCACTACTAGTAAAATTTAGTTGGTCATAAAAAAGCAATTTCTTAATTTGAGACTGTAACTCATCTACTCTGCAAAAAATATTCACTGATTATAGTTCCAAGATATCATGAAGCATAACACTACTGTTATATAAAAGCTTGTGCTCATCTTTACAGGGCTATCTTGATCCCGAATACTACATGACACAGCAGCTCACAGACAAAAGCGATGTCTATAGCTTTGGAGTGGTGATGCTAGAGCTGATAACTGCTAGGCAACCAATTGAGAAGGGGAAGTACATTGTTCGTGAGGTGAAGATGACAATAAATGCAAATGATGAGGAACTATATGGTTTAAAGGAGTTAATGGATCCTGTAATTCAGAATTCAATCCATCTCATAGCTTTCAAGAAGTTCACAGAGTTGGCCTTGAGGTGTTTAGAAGAATCAGCTGGAGACCGCCCAACAATGAGCGATATCGTGAAGGAAATCGAGATGATGTTGCATGCTGATGATCTAAGTACAAACTCACATTCAGCATCTTCATCTGCTACAGATTTTGGAACTGCAAAAGGTGTTCCTCACCATCCTTATATTTCTCTTTCTAGAAAGGATGTTAACAGTAATGCCTTCGAATACAGTGGTGGATACTCGTTCTCAGCAAAACCCGAGCCCAAATAACAAAGGATCGGTGTTTCAATTATCTTATACTTTTGTATTTGGACAGTATATATTCTCTGAAGAAATGTAGGATTGTTGAAATATCATCGAAAGCAAATTTCTCAGGTGACGAAAGACTTACACCACGGACTGTGTTCTCTTGCTTCATTGCCCTATATTTGCTTGAATACGTGAGCCTGAATAGCAAGTTCTCTTCTTTATCTATATCTTGGCTACGAACAAGAAAAGATTTACTAGTTCAAATAAAGTTGATGATTCATTTCGGTAATTTCAACAAATTCTCCAATGAAGTTTCCCAAGATTTCCACCAACTATAGCAATTGCAACCTCAAAAGAGGAAAATTGAGGCGGTATAAGGAAAAGCATAAATAACATAAAAGATAAGGAATTCAAGATGGACGAAAGACAAAAACAAAAACAGTGACGATCGTGAGAAAAGAAAGGACTCGACGTCGCTAAATGTCAATTCACAAATAGAAACACGAGTGTGTGCTTGACAAAGAAGATGCATATATAGATAGTAGAGCACAACATACTAACCACCCAACAAGCACACTCTTGCAATGTTCTAAGGGTTAGCAGGTAAAAGTGAAAGCATAAAGATCTGTAATTATGCTATGTCAATAATGCGGAAATAACCTATAT